TGCTTTTAATTTCTTCAATCTCAACGTGTACGAGACTGAGTAGGATAAACATTGTCAAAAATGTAACCGATGTTCACATTGAGGGCCATCAGAAAAATATACTGGTGTCTTGAAATCTGAAATACTGTAAATGTATGTGAATTTTATTGTGTTCTTTTTTCCCAATAGTTTTAATTCATTCAGTTTTACTTTGATTGAAAAAACTGTTAAACAATTTTAGAAACAAGTAAACATACGAAAAAAAAAATTATTATCATTCATATACTTTACCTAAATGTGAGTGAAAGAAAGATTTAGTGTCCTTGGTCTTAGCCGATTTAAATAATAAGACTTGCCTATTAAAACAATGGCACAAACTCAGGCATGATGTTGGAAAGGTGGCCGATGACGACTGGAACGTATATTCTTAGCATAATCAGGCAAACAGGTTCCAGCCGACTTACATTCCTGACCATGGGACTCGTCTGTCTTGGTTACTGTTGTCCCATGGATGTTAGAAAAGTATAACCTAGTACCACCATTCCTAGAAACGCTAGACCTACGACTTACGTGCTCAGGACTAGCGTTATTAGGAATCCCATTCCCTGCACATCGCCCAATAGGGAATTTGTTGGCTGTAAACAGATATCTAGACTAATACTGTAAGTCCAAATTACTCCACGTTTTGGCAAGCTCTGATGTTGCCTTGAACGGTTCATAGCCTATACCTAATATCCGTGTGGTTTTAATATCTTTTAACCTTTCAAATTGATAATTGATGGCATTTAGTACTAGATGGTGGCCTCTTTGCAACCCCACAAATGAAAATATTTGCACTATTTATTTTGATATTTTTTAAGAGATAAGATTACGTAATTTTAACTAATATACATTTTTATTGCTATATAATATCTAACACCATTCTTTAATAGGGGGACCTTTGAATAAAAGCGGCTGCTACCGGCCAAATTTCAACACTATATATCTGTGTTTGTCATTTACTTATCCTTTGGCTTGGGTTAATGTGTAAGTTTAGTTTAGTTTATTTCACTGTAACATATGCATCCACTTGTGTGGATGAAAATGACAATATGGATACAATTTTTGTGAATATGCTATTGATGATTAGACATAAAAGTGTGTGAACAATTATAACGGGATATGAATTCTTGACAGTTTACCCTTGCATACTTCATTGCAATTTCTTTTCCGCCCACTTGCGGTATTTTGTTGCTTTTACAAAACCTTAAGAGGAGAAAGAGTCGATATCAAGAGCCCCGATAGAAGGACAAATCAATGACCATTGTTATCACATTCTGGAAGTATCCGAATATCAGTAATGGCATTGTTTATGTATAGCATTAGTTCAGCTCACCATTATGCTTTCTTTGTGTTTTTAGCAACGGTATTTTTACAGTTGTTCGGCAAGGGTAATTCATTCGTGAATTACCAGTAGGCACCAATGTTGTGAACCCATTACCACACGTCAAAAACCTGGGTGTCTACTTTGACTTCACTCTCTCCATGGATAGACAAATATCAAATACCACTCAATCATCATTTTATTATTATTATTATTATTTTAACAACCTTTTCATTTATTTTAGTCATCTGATTCTGTTCATTTACCCATGCAAGGTCTGCTGAACATTTTATATATGGATTCTATTATTATTATTATTATTATTATTATTATTATTATTATTACGTGTTTATCATTAAAATCATTCTTGGCACTTTGACCATTTCTTTTAGAAAATTAAAACGTCAGGACCTTTAGCTGTAAACAATTGCTGTAAATTACCACTTCAGTCTAACGTAAGGTCAATAACCGCTCAATCAATGTTGTTCGTATGTTTGACCTACTTACTTTCATTTAACATATACTTATCTGCCCGTTTATATACAGCACAGACAGCAAGTCAAAAAACGTTGGCATAACATTTCCCTGATAACATGAAACGATGTCTTTTGGTATATTTCTGTTATTTATTTTCTAAAATATATATTGGGATTTGGCTTGTTTTTGTGACTTCAAATGCATCTTTAATAAAAATTTAGGATAATTGAAACCATCACACAAAAATAGTGCCTTTAGCTAGGATATTTTTTACAGCTTTTCAACATGTGCCAGTCATTAAAGTTTACTTAAGGCACTCTGCCCTTTCTTTAATAATTTATCAGTCAGGAGTGTAAAAAGTTGCTGTAATTTACCACTTCGGCCTAAAGTAAGTGTAATAGTCGTTCACACATACAACTGCAAATCATATCAAGTATATGTAGGAATTTGAATTTTATCAATTTGAATTGAATACTTGAAAAGTGACTTGCCACTATCGTAAAAATATTCGATATTTGTTTAAAGGCACCTTATTTTGGCATGACCTTGCGGTCACGAATTGAAAATTCGGTTTGTATGTTTAACTATGAGCATACGGAGCCCTCTCAGTCTCAGTGCAGTTCTTATTAGTATGTTCCAAAATACAGACTTGACATTTAATATGGAATATATCAGTTTTAAAGGTATACCTAGGTAAAAATTCGTTATTAAAAAAAAAAACTCAGATCTCACATAAAATATCTGACTGGAGAAGTATGAAGTCAGGTGTGTCGCTACCAATTAACTGACTACCAAGTCTTTTGCACTGCTGCATTGTGAAATATGCAGTGATTTAATTGGCTAGTGCTCCTTTGGGCTGGTCAAAGCTTGCCTTTGATGAAGCATGGTTCTGTCAAAAAAAGTATCCATATGTCGGCAACTACTGAAGAATTTGAAATTTGGCATGCAAGCGGTCTGTTTTGCAGTGCGTAAAATGAGTTAAGCAGTGTTTTATAAAATAGATAAGCTGTGCCAGAATGGCGCGAAAAATACAGATATTGCCAGACAGATTATTGTGTCAAACGGAAGCTTTGTACAGTTTTATAGAGTTATGCCCAGACTGATGCACCTACACAGAGACCACGCCCAATGTATCGACACCTTACCACCAGGGTACAGGTCTCACTGTCCTTCACGATATGTTGCTGCAATTAAACCAAAACCACCCAGACCGTTTTGAATGAGGGGCAAATTGCCACCAAAACGTGTTTTTCAAGGCTCTTAGCGAACACCAAAATGGTTTCAGCAGGTAAGGACATCAGGCGGCCTTAGAGGAAGCCACTGTAAACAACAAAACAGCGAAGTCTGTTTCTCTAATTAATTGGGAACCATGACCGTTTCTGGGTAGAACACTAAAAGCGCGTGGGTTTCTTTATTGAGGTCAGATTTCACCCGTACCGCTAAACTGGTCAAAATGGAGTTTACAGACATCCAGAAGAGGCCTTCGACAAGGCATGTGCCACTCCTTAAGTGACTAGGGTTATTGACAGCGTCAATAATTGGAGTGGATACCACATTTGTGCCAAAACACCAATGGGAGTCATCAATGCAAACCTGAACTAAATTAAATAAAGGAATACTCTGGAAACCACTTGACCATCATCTGATAATGGGCACCTTAGGAACAATTTTAGGTCGCACGATGAGTTTGCCGGTTCACACAGAGCACTTTCAATGGCAGATAACTTGCAGAACCAAGGGAATGAGCAGTTACCTTAGTCATCAAAATCGGCATATTTGAACCACATAGACAATATGTGGGTAGGTAATTACTAGCTGTATCAAGGGCCTGCATGTCCTACAAAAAAACCTAACCAAATTGGACAAGTTTTTACCAATGCCTGGAATTTTCTTCCAGATTAAACCTATCCCAAGGAAAGCCTTGCCGCTTGAAATCTCTGGTAGCAGCAAGAGGAGGTCCTGTATAACAGCGACCATTGCTGTCACTAGACACTGAGATGAGGGGCCTTTGTGGGCCGTGTAACGCTTTTAAAGACAATAATTTGGAAAATATGGAGATCCAAAATATCGTTTTCAATGGTTGTCGTATGACTTAAAATAGGCAATGTATTTTTGTTTGCTTCACTGGCGAATTCAATTAATGAACTGATGTCACAATGACATCGAACAGATTATCAAAAGTATTTAAAACACGGTTTGTAATCCTTATTTTCATTTGTCAGGCAGCAAAATATGATAAAAACTGATTAATTATGATTTGGAGAAAATATTCCATATTAAATGTCAAGTCTGTATATCCATTCCATTAAAAGGTAAACATTGTAGACTCCTAACTATATTTTTTTTAAAATGTTAACATAAAAGCATCCTGGTCTACTTTACTGAAAGAAAATACAGTTTTTCTATTTCAATTGTGATATCAGCAGATGATAACCAAGAAGGTATTTATTAAAACATTTGATTTTCAACGTATTCAAAATAAATACATCTAAGTTTGGCATGTAACATATAAAAGACCAGCCTCAGGACATTTTCTCTAGTTAGTCCTGATCAACTATGTCCAGTGCCATCTTCATTTTTTTGACTCGATCAAATTTTCAGACCCGTTTATTGATAAGGCAATTGGTTTGCAATTAGTATAATATAAAAAATCAATAGTTTCATTTATTAATTTGACTTGCTTCTATTCCCTCCTTCAGGTATTACCATGGCTACTGCAGGGCCCAGCTCAACTACAAACTTGACTGAGTGTCTTGAACAATGTCGGGAAATCCTTCGGACAAGCACACTAAGCGTAGATATTCTCCTTGGTGCCTTGGTGTCCAACGGAGTTGTGACGACAGAGGAAGCGGCAAATGTCAAACAGCTGTCAACTGAAGCCCCTGCACGGAAGGAAAGGAATGAAATCGATTTTATTTTAGACCTTCTTATTTCAAAGGAAATTGCAACTTCAGAGATATTTTTTCAAACAATCAAAGTTCATAACCCATGGATAATAGAAAGATTTCAAAAGGAAAGTTCGTATATTTTTTTCACTGGAACAATTTCTTTATTATAGTTAATGAAATGAATTTACGGAATCAGTAATCTTACTGTGCTGCTTGATTGATAATATCTCATCTTTCTTTTCCGAAAAGCAGTTTGGTCGTAAATTAATAAACAAAGATAGACAAAAAACAATATGAATATTCTTATGCTGCGTTTGTAAAAGTTAACCCTTTGCATATGGGTATAACCCACTACTTTTTCTTGTAGCACTTGCAAAAACAAACATTTTTTTGTTTCAGAAATTCCCGTGAGTCAGTTTCTGGTATGTGACGATCTCACTTCTGAAGTTGACAAACTGAAACTGACAGAGAACGAAGCACCTGGCAACAGTGCTCCTCCGCGACCGCAAACTGTATCTGATCTTGAAAAGGAGGAAAACTGGGACAAGCTACCGCAGTTGTGGTTTAGAGCCACGAAATTGCTATTTGGAGAGGGCGTTCCAGTGGTTCCTCTCGTCCAGGTTTCCTATGATTCAATCTTTCCGGAGGAAACGAACGACCCTGTTGCAAAATACGTGAAGCGGAGTGGGTATACGGACGAGTTTATTACAGAGAAGCAACAATTTGGAACGTATGAGAATTTTGTTAACGAAACTAGAGGTGCGGTTGGCATTGTCACGATGAAAAAGCTACCAGCGGCAGAGGTAAATAGTTTAGTTTTAAAATTATTTTTAGGATGTATTAGGAATTTTGTTCTATATAACACTTAAATTATCAGCGCAATATCCGAGTAATGGGCCAGAAAGTGATATTTGGTCCGCAGACCTTAAAATTAGAAAAAGACCCCTCCTTACAAAACTTATAATTCCGAATCCAGACACCACTAGACACCAGAATTCAAAAGAACTTTTAGTTTTTGGTGATTAATTATGATTCTACTGACACTTTTATCTGGAGAACTTATGAAATTATGTTTGGGAAGGACAATTATATTTTTGATATAGTTTTCAAAATATTGATTATTTTAAATAATAGAGGTAAGTTTATTAAATATGACTTATTATTTAAATTTGATAAAGTGCATTAGATTGAGATATATTTGATTATAAAGTAAAGGGTTGATTAATATCAATTTGTCCTTCCTAGATGATTTTGGTACATATTTTTAAGTTTTCTCAGTAATTTCAATAGCCAGAAAAACTAATCACTTTATATTCTCTTCAACATGGAACGGGCCAACATCATATGAAAGAAAATTTGATTATAACTACTGGAGTGAGAAATTAAATCAAAATTATAAATCATTAATAATGACAACTAGCATTGTAGAAGAAAATTTGAGGCATTTCGAGCATTTTTGAGCAATTAGAGGTCAGGTGACCATAGATTCCTAAACCCTTCTGTCTTTCAAGATAATGTAGAACTTAAAATGCAGAATTATTATATATGTCATCTTTTTTCAAGTTATTACAATTTAAACATTTATTATAATCTTCCTAATGAATTTGGTAAGAATTTCTCTTACTTGCCCCAATACTACTTAAATACTGATATCTTAGTCAAAACTAGTAACATGTTTGAAGATGAAATATATAATCATAGAAAGGCATCTTTACCTTTGACAATATTCTTGTCCTTTCCATATGCTCACTAACTATTGTAATTTTTCTTTAACTATTATCTTTTAAGTCCTAATTTTTTTCCTAAATATAACACACATATATAGGAATAAACATACAAAAATGGGCCATCCACTCTTTCATTTTATAAAATTTTTTCATTTGAAGTGTCAAATGGCCTTCCAAAACGGCAAAAAATACCACGGAACAGCCCAAATATGATTCATGTCTCTACACTTTTTTCAGGAGTCGGAAGCTATATTCCAGATTTATGAATGTTTTCGCAGTAAAGGCAGTTCGATTGTGATTGTGATCAACTATGATCCCCCTTTATCAACCCAGGCTGAAAAACCTCGTGTGCTCCGATGTCTTCTTGAGCACTGCAAGAGGAAGAAAACAAAGGACTACATGAAAGTCGCGCAAGAACTATGTTTATCAATGGTATTTCAACCACTTGGAGACAGTGAATTCTTTTACAAGCATATAGAAAAGATAGGACTGCAAACTTGTAAGCGGATTGCGGAAAGAACAAGCTTATCGTCTGTAAAGGATGTTGAAAAGATGATAAAAGAGCTAGAAAAAAAAGATCCAAACACATCACCTTTGTCTGATACTGCAAAACGTAATCTGTTTGGGTAAGTGTGTACATGTAGCTACCTGTACTCGTCTTTTTGCAGTCAAAATATGTAAAGCAAAAAAGGAAAAAATAATCAATGTTTGGCAGTGAAAAAATAAGATCATTTTAATCAGTTAAAACTGCAATATTTTATTAAATCAGTTTTAAGACATATTATCCTATGTACTTTTCTATTTATGTCATGAATGTGTGGTAGTTTTTAAAAATAGAATGATTGCAAGAATGTTCAATTATTGTGAGACTATTTTGCTCTTTTTTCAGACTTCCCTTTGTTAAAGGGTTTAGTATGATCGCCGATACACCCCATATCTACATACACGAGAGACAGTTCGGAAACCACGATAATCATACACAGGTGCACGATATGGTATCGCCCTATTTTGGTGACCATTATTTTATTTTGAAATATTCTGAGAAATTCCGTTTTGTACCCCTTGTCTCAATAAAGCCAGGGGAGGCTGTATTCTCCAATCCGGAGAAATACGGAACTCTCGGTGCCTTACTTGAAGTGCTCCAAGAATGTGCGAATGACTGGTATGGCCTAACATGTGAGCATGTTGTGAGAGAGAGTGCTTCAGTGATGATCAAAACGGAGGGAAATTCGTTTTCTGACTTAGGAAAAGTAGTGTACAAGAGAGATATCACTAAAACAGAAAAAGATGTTGCCCTCATACAGATAAACCGTTCGTTTTACCCCACAAATATCCATGGACACATTGATATTCGTAGAGACCATAGAGGAATTAAACAGCAGAAGGTCCGGAAGTTGGGGGCTCAAACCGGGGAAACTTACGGCTTTGTGTTAGGAACCTACTTGGAATGTCCTAAGTATGGAAGAGATTTCATATTTCTTTGTCCAGAAGAACAATCAGCGCGTTTTGCAGAGGCTGGTGATAGTGGTTCCGTTGTTGTTCTAGAAGAAGATAACAAAGTAGAAGCATTGTCCATACTTTCAGGCGAATTAAGCGTCGTTCCTGAACAGGAAGCAGAAGGGAGTGACCAAACTCCTCAACCGACGTTGGAAGATAAGGGGCACCCCGTTGCTGGTGACAGTGTAGGAGGTAGTGCCAGTTCTGCGTCTGATATATATCCTGACGAGATTACACCCTGTATTCCAGAGAAAACTCAAGTACTTTATTCCGAAACGTTGACAGCATCTCTGGATCAAATAATAAATAATCAGGAAAAATTTTCTAGAGAAAAGATTCTAGAATACATTGATGAAGTAAGCACATACCACAGTCTCTTATTTGTTCGCCGTGTTGATCCAGGAAAGCCAGCTGCTGCAACGCATTGCATTCTATGTAGACAAAGCCGTAGATCTGATTTCTTTACTTACTTCAGTGACCACCAACCTCCATGCAAAAAAGCAGTTGAATGTGTATTACGTTGTTCTGTTGATAACAAAGAACTCAGGGACAACTTGGCAAATAGGTACATGTCTGTGCACAGAACAAGACTGCTGGAGCCTGCATCAAAAATCAGATTGCATATTCAACCGTGCGAACTAAAGGCGGAGGAAAATAAAGAGCATGGTGATTATGGCATTAGGCCTAAGAAAAGGTCGTGTCAAAAAACACTCGGCTTTCGTGATCAACCGTTCCGTTTAGGGGCCGATGATGATTTATTTTCTTCCTATCTAGAAGCCAAGGCAACTCAAGAGCATGATGATGACGATGATGATTGGACGACACGTGTATGGGAAGAAGAATTTAAATCAATTACAGGAATGACATTTTCTAGGTTTTTAAATTTTTCAGCCGATCTTTTTAATAGATGAGATTTAACTTATGAGCAATGCAAGCAACATTTCAAAACGCCCCTACCACGATGACCCATCTTTCATTGCACCCCCAGTGCAACCTTGTATTCTACTCTACAGTCCACCGGTCATGCTTTGTAGGACACAGCTTACCTGTGCATTGGGTATAACTTGATATATTGACACTGCTTGCAGTGCTGTTGCCAGTAATCAAAAAGAAATAGAAACGTTGACAAGGATCATGCTCCCTTGAACAGTCGCACTATATAACGCCATGTAAACGTCTAGGTTTATCGTGATAAATATGGGCATTACAGTTTGCTCCATGGATTTGCATAGGCATAGAAGCCGGGGGATGTACGTCTTAGCTCGTGCCAAGCCCTCCCCTTTTTAATCACGTCAAACACAAGCGCCTGCAGCAGAGGTTAGATTGTTTTCTTTATCTTACATTCATCAATGCCACAAGCAAATGGAAATTGGTCAAACTTGCACTTTTTCAAGGATGGGGAAACCTAGAAATTTAGATATTCAGGGAACGGGACAATGGTCTAGAAAACCATTTTATAATCTAATTATACCATGTGTACGCTAGATTGGATGGTAGAGCATGCTCTCCTGGTGATAGTTCTAAAGATAGATAAATGTGTATATATATGGGAATTAATGAAAAGTGTATTCTGTTGTAAGATGAATCCAGACATAATGGTCAATTAAAGAGGTTACAGGTGTATTGACTTTTATGAACAATTTTAAGAATATGGATTTGTTATAGTGAGTGTAAAGATTTATACAATTGTGTTAATATTAAATAGGATCATAAACCCTTTGCTTCAGTAGTTGCATCGAACTAAAAAAAGTGTCATTTTGTGTAAAAGATGAAGTTATATTAGAAATGCTATGTACATGTGAAGAAATGCCATAAATGGTTGGAAATAATATTTTTACTTTTATGGAATACCAAGTCTAGAAAATCGTTTAGTTTAGTTTAGTTGATGAAGGATAAAATCTAAGTTAGCCTTGTCTGGGATGCAATTTTGATATCACTTCTAGCGTTGTAAATCTCTGGAAGCTAATTGGTTTAGAAAACTTGTTTTGAACAAAAAAAATTGTTTTGAACAAAAAAAAATCATTAGCAATGCGATGCCATATGTAGTATGGATTAAGATAATTTGTCTTGAAATTAATCTGTAATATGGAAATATTGCATATAATAATCATAGAGGAATATTTCTAATGCCTTAAAAGGTAAAATATTAAATTTCACACTGGACACTCGTCTAGAACTGATAGATGTTATGCAGAATCCGACGCTTAGTACTTTATCACAAGGACATTTAGGGCACTGCCACTGCTAGGTGACACTGCTGGTGGTATGGCACTCTTCACGTAACAGTCGACATGGAATCGACACCAGAGCCCTGTTCCACACATGGTGTAGCTGGAAACACAAATCCGCGCTCCAGTTTAGTGATGTCTTAATATCTTGCAGACCTAAGTGAGCAACCACTGTGTGATTAATATTTTTCCTTTTGGAGATCCCAGCTGGATGAATCATATTTGCATTGATATTCTTATGCTTCTTTTAAAAAGAATATCAGATTTTAGGGCATGAACTAGTCTTCTTTGCAAAGCTATATTTCATTTCTTCGTAAAATGTATTGGAACTTCAAGAGTATGGTATATTATCGATAGTGATAAAACTAGGAAAGAGCAAAGAAAATAGTAATGATATGTTTAACAGTGTTGATAAATAGATAGTGATTGCTGCAATTTATTAACATGTTTAAGCGTAGAGAAAAAATTAACAGTGTGCTTTGATATAAATTGTATATTTTTGAATTTTTTAAATTAATTTTAATTAATAGAAAACATGGATGAAAAAATAATATGAATATGTTAGTAATATATTTAACTATTGTAAATATTAGCCTTTATAGGACATCTCTAACTGGGTTGCGTTGTTTAAATCATAATACAAAAATCAAAGAGGTTAGAATTGGATAAATGGATGAAACAGCCATACTCCGATAATTGCTATTGAAATGTTGTAAAGTGAATGACTTACACTTTCACTAACTACAGATGACAATTAAAACGGAATCAAAATAGTAAAAGGATAGGGAGTTATTGAGTGTACGTTAAATTTCTTTAATAGTCAACACGTGTAAAATATGTTTTCGTAGTAGGCAAAGATGGAACATGTCAAAGTCACATATTGTTTGATTTGATTGGTTAATTTCTCAATAGATTTGCAAGTTTCTAACACGTATAAAATCCATGCAAACATAGGAGGGATAAGACTCCAAGCATTAGTAATTCAAATAATATTTTAGATATCTTTAATTGAAAACATGTCTCTTACAAATTGCCTAATAAGGAAATGTTGAATGGTGGTTTGCAACATGAGAATAGAAAATCCTTAATAATCACGCAAAGACAATGGAAAGAAAACAAGTAACCGCATGATCAGTACGGAAAATAGAGTTTAAACATTTGTGAAGTTGTATAAAAATGAAGTCGGTGAATAAACGTTTGAAAGCTCCAGACCGTCGTTATTCTTCACTATAACAGAAAAGAAACTGTAATTACAGAAGATTATCACTTGTTTGTATAATGAAGACTATAACATAAACTAAAACAAGTTTATGTCAAACAACAAAAATATCATTAACGTATTTTACTTAACACTTCTTGTGGTACCAATGGATGAATGCCATGAAATGTTGCTTCCTTCTCTTTCTATGCGTACATACAACAGAAAGCATTTATTAAATGCTAACAGCAAAGAAATGTGGCAGATTTTAAAATATTCAATCTTTAAGCACCATAGGTCTTTGAGATGTAATAAAGACTCTGTCTTTTAACCAAAAAAAAAAAAAATTAAACTTCTGTTTTATCGGCAGGTAGAATAATCTCAATCACAATTAACGTATGGACATGTGGTGCATTGAGCCGGTATGAAAAAGAACAAAGTTGTAGACAGACAAGAGGGCATGCTGACGGGTTGTACTGTATTCTTTATTGAATCAACAAGCAACCATGAAACTAAAAGGAAAACAAATAACAATAATCAATAAATAAATATCTCATAAAACAATCTCATAAAACCAAATTTACATATTATTATACAATTTCCGAACACCGTTTATTAAAAGCAGTCATTCCTTATTAACACAAAACTACATATTTGTCATTTTATAAATTTGACAGCTTGTTTTAGATTACACATCCAATTAGCTCCACTCATGACTAAACCCATTAGGGATAGGAATATCCATCTAAGCAATTATACATTGTTATAACAAACTTGCCACTAACTCCCTATTTCTTTAATCAGTTGGCATATGCTTACTTTTTTGCTATCTTTTAAGGTTCTTCTAAGCTAAGATCCTGCTGTCCCCCATCCTTTCAAATGTCTGCCAAATTTATCACAGGAAATGATAGCAGATTATTTCTCACTTATGCAAACCATATGTGGAGAGACTATGATTGCGCTAGATGTGCTTCTAGTACTGCCAGTGCAATCCATGGTGACGTTGTGCGAAAAATACTAACACATTTTTTTTCTTTTCTTCAAGTGTGGGAGGGATTATTCATTAGACTAATGAAATCTGATTGCTTACCCTGACCACTACATTGTACATATCAAGCATGACGGTTGAGAGCTTGCGTACGCTTTTGATTTTATCAGACCGAAATCTTGGACAAGGGGATCATTTGTGCCTTATCACATAAAAAAACTAAAGCTTAAATGTTCCTGAGATATAATTCTTAAATTAAGTTTGAATCATTCACTGAGCTGCAGTGTACCAAAACTTTTGCAATGTTAAATAATTTTAATTTGACCTTCATGATCATCCGATTAAGTCGTTTTCTTAGCTATATTTTAGATGTGAAACCATTGCACACTTGCAAATAAATTGTTTAATTTTATAGTGATGATCGAAGATAAAGGGAAAACATCCGCCTCGATGCAGGTCACTCATCCATTCTTAAATCTGCCCATTCTCATATAGCTTCTCACTTAAGGAGGCTCTCTCATATTTCAGAATTCATATTTCTGCCCTAGCGTTTTCGAAAAAATTATCAGACAAAAACTTCTCACCATATAGGTAAAAAATATGAAAAAAATAGGGGGTACTTGAAAGGTAGCGTCCCGAAAACCCCCATGTTTATTTTACATTACTTTATATGGGTGTTTTTGCCAAAATGGCCTTAATTTGTCTAAAAAAATGCAAAAAAAATCTGCCCTAGCAATTTTAATTTTATGTGGATATGTTATAGATCCTGGCCAAAAAAATTTACAAAAAATATGTACCATATCCAGCTTGTTTTTGACCAGGGCTACTTAAACATCAATTTTTTTTTTATTAATTTTACATAGGAATAAATATAAATTTCCTAGCAAATTTAAATATATATGTTTGTATCATGTTTTTTAACTTGTACACTTATTTTGCTTCCATAAAAATTGTATTTATACTTCTCTGCATCAGTTTACCAAATTTCATAAATTTCGCATATCCTTATATTCATAATAAATAGGTATTCAGATGTTGAAAGTATCAGTTGGAATTCAGTATGCCTCATGGAATACCGCCATATTGGATTTTTCATAGGTCTTGCCTACAAGAATATGTATCAATCTCGTGACCTTTATCTAATTTCTGCAATCCAGATAATCCGCAATCCTTCCGATCCGGAGAAATACTGAACTCTCGGTGCTTTACTTAAGTGCGCCAAGGACCTGCGCCTGAAAAGCATCACTGGTATGCACTAACATGAGATCATGTTGTGGGAGAGAGTGCTTCAATGATGATCAAAATAGGGGAAATAAGTTATATGGCTTTGGCGAAGTAGTATACAAGAGAGATATCACTTCAGCCAACAAATAAAGCGTTCTTTTTACCCCACAAATACCGTGAACACATTGATTTTCGTAGAGACCTTAAGGGAATTCAAATGCAGAAGGCCCGAAAGATGGGAGCTCAAACCGGGGAAACGTATGGCATTGTGGTAGGCGCTGATTGTGAATTCCCAGATTGTGGTAAAGATTTTATATTGCTTTGTTCGGATTCACCATCAGCTCGTTTTGCAGAGGGAGGTGATAGTGGTTCAGTTGTTGTATTAGAAGATGATAACAAAGTAGAAGCATTGTCCATACTTGTAGGCAAATTTGAAATCAGAGATGACGTTTCTCAGTTGGAAGTAGAAGGGCGTCACCACACTCCACATCCCGGGTTGGAAGAGAGCGAGCTTCCCATTACTGGTGCCAGTGTAGAAGATAGTGCCAGTTATGCGTCTGATATTAACGGTCATTACGGGGGTATGTTCTCACCCTTAATTCCAAAGGACACTCAGGTATTTTATTCCGACGCCTTGACAGTTTCCCTGTATCAAATAAATAATAAAAAAGAAAAAGATGCGAGAGACAAAAGTGTAGATTACATTGATAAAGTAAGCAGACACCACAGTCTCCTGTTCGTTCACCGTGTTGATCCAAGAAAGCCAGCTGCCAAAACGCGTTGCATGCTATGTAGTAAAAGACGTGGGTCTGAGTCCTTTACCTACTTCAATAACCATCGACCTCTATGCAAAGAAACAGTTGAACATTTATTACATTCTTCTGTGAATAACGAACAACTCAGAGACAACTTAGCAAATAAATACATGTCTTTGCAAGGCAGAGTCCCTGGACTACTGGACCGTGCAGAAATCAGATTGCATATTCAACCGTGCGAACTGAAGGCGGAGGAATATCAAGAGCATGATAATATTAATGATAATGTCTTACCTCAGAGAAGAACAGATGAAAAAGAACTGTGCTTTCCCATTCAATTGTGCGAGAAAAATCAAGGGCGTGATGATGATGATGATGATAGAATAATACGTGAATTGGAGGATGAATGTTAGTCACAAACACAAATGACATTTCGTGATTTTTTTTCATTTTCCGGACTTAATCTTTCTATGGG